TGAGGCAAGAGAATCGCCTAAACCCAAGAGCTGGAGGTTGCTGTGAGCTGTGATGCCACAGCGCTCTACCCAGGGTGACAGCTTGAGACTCTGTCTCAACACAAAACAAAAAGGGATGCCAACCAGGCTATTTGTGATGACCTTCAAGCTGTTTCAGCTGCTTTGTTTGATGGTTGGCCTTACTACAAATATTACACTAAAGTATTTGGTATCTTTTTTTTTTTCTTTCCCCACTTTTATTTGTTTTTTTATTTAGTACTTAGTATCTTTAACATCCATCATTAAATTTGTACCATGATGGAGCTGATTCCTTTTTCCCATTACCTGCTTTCTTTTGTGGGAGGTGAGGGGACCACATGGTTGAGGGACATAAAAATGAAAGGTGTTTACAAATATTTATGCCAGGAAATATTTGGGTATGATCTGAAATTGATGTTGTGACATTATTTCTAGGGTTTTGCGGCCTCCAGGTGGTGGATCCAACTTTTCATTAGGCTTTGATGAACCAACAGAGCAACCTGTGAGGAAAAATAAGATGGCCTCTAACATCTTTGGGACACCTGAAGAAAACTCCCCTTCTTGGGCCAAGTCAGCAGGTACTACTTTTCTTTTTTTTTTTGAGACAGAGCCTCAAGCTGTCCCCCCCTGGGTAGAGTGCTGTGGCATCGCAGCTCATAGCAACCTCCATCGCCTGGGCTCAAGCCAGTCTCCTGTCTCGCCTCCCAACTAGCTGGGATCACAGGTGCCCGCCACAACGCCTGGCTCTTTTTTGGTTGCAGCCATCATTGTTGCTTGGTGGGCCCAGGCTGGATTCGAACCTGCCACCTTAGGTGTATGTGGCTGGCACCTTAGCCACTTGAGCCATAGGCGCCGAGCCAGTTTTTCTATTTTTAGACAATTTGCTCTTGCTTAGGCTGGTCTTGAACTCCTGAGCTCAAAAGATCTCCCGCCTTGGTCTCCCAGAGTGCTAGGATTACAGGCGTGAGCCACCATGTCCAGCCCCAGATTGGGATATTTGTCTCTCTGTAGAATGTTTAATCCATCAGTGTAACTTCCTTAAGACTGTTTCCTCATTTTGCAAGACTAATGCATAGTGTCAGTTGCTAAAAAAGTGTTTTGCTTTAGGTCTTTCTATTGTATTTTGGTTTTTTAGGTGCCAAGTCTAGTGGTGGCAGAGAAGATTTAGAGTCATCTGGCTCCCAGAGAAGGAACTCTTCTGAAGCAAACTCTGGAGACTTCTTAGATCTGAAGGTCAGTCTGATAACATGAGGGAAGAAAGGCTTTGGGGTCAATACAGTTACCAAAATTAAGCTTCCCTATTTTTAACTAAGAGTTTCAGTTCTGCCACTGGAGTTTAACATAGAGGTAATTAGGAGAGGGACTGGGCCGTATTGGTAACAGCAGATTGATACATAAAAGTCAAAAAAGTGAGTTAACATTGATCTGAATCTGTTCTTGTATCTTTTTTGCTATTAAGGATTAGTCTTTTATCCTTCAGTGCTGATTTTCGGAACTTCCAGGGCACACTCACTTCCTGTGTATCTCATACTTAGTAGTATTTTTGAGTTCAAGGACTGTTTCTGTTGCTGCAAATGTTGCTGTGAGTTGAACTCCAGCAAAGGGAGTGCTCGAATTATTGGCAATTGTGTCTGCAGGTCACTGAGTCCTGCAGCCTGAGCCCCAGGGGGTGTGTATGGGAAGGCCTTGTCTGGTAGGAGGTCCTCCTGAGTTGGTAGCTTAGAGCCCACTGAGTCTGGGGCTGGGGTGGGGCTGGAGAATGGCTTTGGAATTGATAGGGGCCTTCAAAGAGAGGAATGAAAAGGGTTTAAGTTTACCAGCTTTTCATCCTGATAAAAGATCATTGGAAGGCGGCAGTGCCTGTGGCTCAAAGGAGTAGGGCGCCGGCCTCACATGCCAGAGGTGGCAGGTTCAAACCCAGCCCGGGCCAAAAACTGCAAAAAAACCCCCAAACTTTAGACATGCTGATTAGTATTAGGTGGTCAAAGTAAATGTTAAAATTTTTTTTTTTTTTTGAGACAGAGCCTCAAGCTATCCCCCTGGGTAGAGTGCTGTGGCATCACAGCTCACAGCAACCTCCAACTCCTGGGCCCAAGTGAGTCTCCTGCCTCTACCTCCCAAGTAGCTGGGACCACAGGCGCCTGCCACAATGCCTGGCTATTTTTTTGGGTTGCAGCCATCATTGTTGTTTCGTGGGCCCGGGCTGGATTCGAACCTGCCACCTTAGGTGTATATGGCTGGCACCTTAGTCATTTGAGCCACAGGCGCTGAGCTAATGTTAAAATGTTTTGGTGTTTATATGTGTTACTGGCACTGGAGAAGTTTATCATAAAGAATTTTTGTGTAGAATTGTCCCCAGTTTAATAAAGGTTGCAGGCCAACCCTGTACTTCAGGAGTCCTCAAACTTTTTAAACAGGGGGCCAGTTCACTGTCCCTCAGACCATTGGAGGGCCAGACTGCGGGCCCCGGGACGAGTCGAATTGGCTGCTAAGCAAGACAGGCAGTGGTGGCAAAAACACCTGGCGGGCCGGATAAATGTCCTAGGTGGGCTGCATGTGGCCTGCGGGCCATAGTTTGAGGACACCTGTTGTACTTGATGGCACTAAGAAAGAAATTTCACATTTGGTTTCAGGTAGATGTTAGCTGCTCTGAACTGTGACTGTTTTATTTGTGTGTGCCAAAATTAAAATAGGAAGTAAGTTAAACATTTTTTTTTCTTTTGTAGGGAGAAGGAGACATTCATGGTGAGTACTTATGAAGACCAAATTTCTGGTTCTGTCAACAGTTTTAAGACAAATTTGGATTTTGGCTCAAATCATGTCTTAGGGAAAGAGACAGGAGTGAAACCTGGCTGTGCTCGAAGTACCAATGTACTCTGGGTGGAGAGGAAAGCAAAATGCAACTAGGAATTTAGCAAACACAGTCACATTTTGATCTGCCAGCAAGGGGATAAATGGTAGAAATGTACTAGAAAGGAAGAACATGGAAGGTCCTCTCCAGATACATGGATATTAGGTTGGCATTTGTTACACTTAACGAGAGCTTTTTCCATTTTAATAAGAGGCTCTGGCATTTCAAGCTCAGCTCACAGCATTCAATTTACAGAGTTCATTTGACTTTATATTGAGATGCTTATTCTGCAAGACATTGGTACCCACCTGGTGGTTTTGGTAAATGATGATTTCAGAAAGCAGCATTTTCAGGCCTCTGTACTGCCAATTATAGGTGGAAATGAGCTGTGATCTTTGACTTAATTATTTTAAGTCTTTGAAGTATTTATTGGCACTTATTTAGCAAGTACCAAAGAACTGCTGATGAGTGTAATGTGAAGTTTACGATGAGTGTAATGTGAAGTTTACAAGTGTCAGGCAGGGCTTGTAGTGAAACGTAAGAGTCACAATGCCCTCAGGTCCCTTCTCTTAGCCTTTTCCTGCCATTACATTTTGTGGCACAGTCTTCACAAGGAAACAGAAATGCCGAAGAACCGAATTCCTCTTCTGCCCTCTCAGATAGTACTTCTCCATGAGGTTTGGTGGGAGAAGCTTCTGAGTATTTCAGAACACTGCTTGGGTTGGTTCTTATAGGACCCTTTTTCACTGGACTACAGATGTATTACTATTTGTGTCCATTTTGTACCTTTTTTTTTTAAAATGAGACAGAGTCTTACTACAACCTAGGATAGAGTGCTGTGGCATAGCTCACAGCAACCTCAAACTCTTGGGCTTGAGCAATCCTCCTGCTTCAGCCTCCTGAATAGCTGGAACTGCAGGTACCTGCCACAATGGCCGGCAAGTTTTTCTATTTTTAGGGGTCTCTTGCTCAGGCTGGTCTTGAACTCCTGAGCTCAGGTGACTCACCTGGCTCAACCTCCCAGAGTGCTGGAATTATAGGCATGAACCGCTGTATACAGCCTATTCTATGTTCTTGACTGGTACAACTTTCAACTCATTTGTTATAAAATAACAAGAGACATAATCACATCTGGTGGATGAATGGTCAAGTCCAATTCTTTTGCAAAGGTGCCTTCAAAGTAGGAAACATGGATCAGTTTATTATTATTATTATTATTTTTATTTATTTTTTTTTTTTTGAGACAGAGCCTCAAGCTGTCCCCCTGGGCAGAGTGCCGTGGCATTACAGCTCACAGCAACCTCCAACTCCTGGGCTCAAGCGAG